CCCCAAAACCCCAAAACCCCAAAACCCCACAAGATACGAAAATAATTGACCTCAAGTGGAAGCTTAATTATTAATTTATCTGAAATGGATTCGAAAGATGACAAAGATCTGACTAATGAAGTCTTATCTTTGATGAAGGACAGCGGAATCAGTCAGACTCTTCTTACCGGACTTGAGAGAGATCCTGGGTTTCCTAGGTTTTGCACTGAATGGGCTAAACAGAGATGGATAGAAAGATCGAAGATTTCTGATCAAGATCTGATATGAAAATTGCAAAATAAGATAAAGACATGTGAAGCAAAAATTGGGAAGTGGAGTAATCCTTTGAGAAGAGCAGTTAATAAGTTCATAGTGGATGAAGAACAAAGTTATAATATTAGTGTTTTGTTGATAAAATGTCTAACTTTGGAAACGATTGGTGATAAAAGTTTGAAAAAATTGGCATCTTACATAGATTTATCAAAAGATACTGAAGCAAGATATCTAGAAATTTTCTCAAAGCACAAATTGCCTTATTTCAAATATATCATACTGACAACTTACACCAAGAAACAGAAAATAATGAATAAATTCATGCAGCATTCTTTTCCATGTAGAGTTGGAAGTTTCTACTTAGATAATAGCTATATCGATAGGAGTAAACCTATAGTAGAAAAAATTGGAAAGTACTTAAACGGATTAAGACGAGTACTGCCAAGAGTTACCAAGAACTTCGAGATCAGTGGATTTGCAATCACCAAGAGGCAACTCCAAACAATATTTTATCTTTGCAGATCTGTCAAATGATTGCGCTTTGGATGATGAAAATTAGATTTGGTAACTGTCCCTAACCTAGGCAGATCAGTTAACGATTACAAGATTCAGGGTCTTGTCTTTGGGGGTTGAGGTGCGATAGATACTGGTAATTGGAATGAGTACCCAGAACACTTTGAACACTTAATAAAGGGCCTATCTCAAACTGAATGGGCATACTCAAGCTTAGGGATGATCATGCTGAGTCATAAAGATATTGACCGTCTTTATAGCCAACAAATATTGAAAAAGTATAAGCTTAAATGTATGATTTAGGATAATTTTCAACTACAACTTTTCAGCCAGGGGTTTTGGGGTTTTGGGGTTTTGGGGTTTTGGGGTTTTGGGG